GCTCTTGTTGCAGCCACTGCTGCTGTGGCTGTTCCTGTTACTACTGCTGCTGCTGCTGTTACTATTATTACTACTACTACTGTTGCTACTGCTGCTCTTGTTGCAGCCACTGCTGCTGTGGCTGTTCCTGTTACTACTGCTGCTGCTGCTACTACTACTACTACTACTACTACTGCCGCTGCTACTGCTGCTGATGTTGCTGCTACATGTGTTTTATTACAACTCGCGTACTCACTTGAGCAGGTTTTCCAGCTTATGTGAAGCGGCGCGGTTTGACGGCGGGAATATGTCTCGCTGTTTGCGCAGCAGGCTCATACAGAACTCGATGAAAAGGTTGAAGGACTCCGCCAGACTTTCCTCCTGCAATTAGACACCCAGATGTCAGCGCGCGGCCACTAGCAGACGCCCACCAACTTTAATAACCTCACATCTATGTAGATAGTTGCGCGAGACGTGTTTAATAAAAAATATATTATCATCAGGAGGAAACATTGCGGTAATTAATTAGGGTAATCAATAAACCATTATTTACTCTATATACTTACATTACCCCAACCGTTATGATCATAGTGATAATATACAGGTCTTGCTGAAATTAATGATTTTTTAATTAAGGTCATAAAGACCATTCGCGAAAATTAGAGACCTCATTCGACTGTTTACTGGATACTACCAGGTGAAGTAACTTGCCCATTTAAATTATCTCTGAATCTATAGTATTGACATATAGACGACATGTTCGATTAAATTTACTTATTTATAGTTAATCGGTTTAACTAATAAAGTTGATGCTATCAGCTACGTCTCGACTTAGGGAATTAGGTTTAGAGAAATGGTAAAAATATGGGAGATAGGTCATATACATTCATAGCAAACACTTATGCGACCCTACTCATGCAAGTGCATAAAATACCAACATAAGAAATACCCACCCAACCACAAATTCTAAAATGTCTGTATATAAATAAATAAATAATATATATATATATCAATAACCGAACTATAGTGATTAAAATATTCTGGAATTAATAACATTGTGTGAAAAATGTCGTTATATATCTTGCGTACACCACTCACCAGCTTTTCTAACTGTCGGTATGTGACCGCCGTGTAGCTGACTCCCACCACCCTGCAACAGCAATAATGACACGTGACCTTTTGCAATAACAGCGCGCAATCATTCAATCCATAATCCTGCGCTGAAAAGCATGTAAACGAACAGAACGGTTTGGTCTGCGCGCAAGTAATTGACATCGCACAATCACGGTTATCGATCTCACATTGCTCATAAAGCGTGAGCGAGGCCAATAAACGCTGAAATTGTTTCGATAAACGCTTCTCAAATCGACGATGATTTGTTTTCGCGTGCAGAGCGTCGGCTTCGCGCGAGGCTTTGACTGATTTTGTAATCATATGGATCGTGAAGAGATTTTGAAGCCCAAAGCAGGCATTAGTAACGCCGACAATCACCAGCCGCTACCGGCGATGCTGCAACGCTAGGCTGCGCTATTATCATCGTGCAGCAGATATATTCTTTGTACAGCAGAACAAAACACGAAATGGTTTGCAGCTTCCATTCTGAACACCTTTTCCCAAATTTGCCACACCGTGAACTGTGCTGCTATTAGAATTGAACCATGTTTGCATGGCAGGTCGTCATAGATTCAACGGGGATTGTCGTTGTATAATTATACAGCTCTCGTTCCATGCACACATGCTGCAATACCTTTCAAATATTGTGTTGTAGTACTGCTGGCCCTTCTGAATGTCACTATTCAGTATGTTGGTGAGTTCAATGAGACCAGAGACGACGTCATCCTCGCTCTGCAATATACAGGACTGGGCTGTATAGCCATGTCTACGAGACACACAAACACGCACGCAGCCGCACGCACAAAGATGCTCGAACACGTGCGGCACTCGCACGCGCACGCATACACACAAAGACGAAGAGATACCATGGCAACCCCTTGACGCAGACGACAGTTTACATAATGCAGTACCTACCAGCATGACTATATATAAAATCAAGTGTATGTAAGTTTAATAAATTATTGATAAAATGCAGAGGAGGAAAACAAGTGCCCATACCCTGACAGTTGTCTTCGTTAGAGCATGTTGCTTCTCATACCATTCCAACGTTCCTTTCTTGAAGAGTAAAAACAAACAATTATAGTGCATCTTGTGTTGCCTTGCTAGGTCACACAGACTGAGATAGTTAATATCATAACTTAGCCTCTGTATTTTGAACACGCAGAAGATGACGCGATAACCTTAGGCATGCTTAGGTAAAGGGGCATGTGTCATAACCCATAGAAAGAGATTTTAGCAGACACATACCTTGATGATCTGTGTAATCTCTGTGTGTAGCTCCTTCTGGAAGGGACAACATTTCTTGAATACCTTGAGATTGTGGATTTCATGAAGGCATCTGAATTAGAAACAGAATATGCATCCACCAAACTGCATTATACTCAACGACATTATTATTGGCAGACACACAAATGGGCCAAAGATTAGACAAAATCTACCATCGGGGAGGTATGTTGGAGTGCTGCAATCCTCCCCATCATAGCCCAGTAACGTATTTTAATTCTGCAGACGGAAATTTATGGCATCTAGTGAGCAATAGATTTGGGAAACAGTAAGCGAAATTGAGGTTAGGTCTAAGAGTGTTCATAAATGCCATCTTCGTGTTGTTTGCTCACTCGCTTTGTGGTATCAATTCGTAACCGGATACATGTCCCCAATGCCTGCATAAATCCGCTAGAGGACATCCTTACCAGGACACGAATCTTCCTAGAGTTCATACCCGAGCACGCACCGTACGGGTGAACGCGGTTACATCCCTCGAGACTCGCGAAATAATGGCGGAAACATTCTTATAGAGGCAGATGCAATCATAAGACTCGACGCATTCAGTCTAAATAGCGACGTATATAGCTCCTTGACTCAAAACGTGCAGGTATACGCATTTTATATGTTGGCGGTGGTGTGGGCTGTGGTGTTGGCGGTGGTGGTACTATTAGTATTAGTATTAGTATTGCTATCGTTATAATTATCATTATTATTATTAATATTATTGGTATTATTATTACTATTATTATTATTATTATTATTATTATTATTATTATTATTAATATTATTATTATTATTATTACTGCTACATGTATTTCTGCTGCTGCTGCTGTTACTATTATTACTACTACTACTGTTGCTACTGCTGCTCTTGTTGCAGCCACTGCTGCTGTGGCTGTTCCTGTTACTACTGCTGCTGCTGCTACTACTACTACTACTACTACTACTGCTGCATGCTACTGCTGCTGCTGTTGCTGCTACATGTGTTTTATTACAACTCGCGTACTCACTTGAGCAGGTTTTCCAGCTTATGTGAAGCGGCGCGGTTTGACGGCGGGAATATGTCTCGCTGTTTGCGCAGCAGGCTCATACAGAACTCGATGAAAAGGTTGAAGGACTCCGCCAGACTTTCCTCCTGCAATTAGACACCCAGATGTCAGCGCGCGGCCACTAGCAGACGCCCACCAACTTTAATAACCTCACATCTATGTGGATAGTTGCGCAAGACGTGTTTAATAAAAAATATATTATCATCAGGAGGAAACATTGCGGTAATTAATTAGGGTAATCAATAAACCATTATTTACTCTATATACTTACATTACCCCAACCGTTATGATCATAGTGATAATATACAGGTCTTGCTGAAATTAATGATCTTTTTAATTAAGGTCATATAAAGACCATTCGCGAAAATTAGAGACCTCATTCGACTGTTTACTGGATACTACCAGGTGAAGTAACTTGCCCATTTAAATTATCTCTGAATCTATAGTATTGTCATATAGACAACATGTTCGATTAAATTTACTTGTTTATAGTTAATCGGTTTAACTAATAAAGTTGATGCTATCAGCTACGTCTCGACTTAGGGAATTAGGTTTAGAGAAATGGTAAAAATATGGGAGATAGGTCATATACATTCATAGCAAACACTTATGCGACCCTACTCATGCAAGTGCATAAAATACCAACATAAGAAATACCCACCCAACCACAAATTCTAAAATGTCTGTATATAAATAAATAAATAAATAAATAAATAAATAAAGATATATATATATATATATATATATATATAAAGAGAAGGAGAATGCACGCGCATACATAATAGCGTCAACAATAATTATAGCATTCAGGCGATGATAAGAAAATAATTTGAATAAATAGCACGGCTAAGTATGTACTTTCAAATTTGCTGAAATGTATTCCGGTCTGAACTTACCTATATACCCACGCATGACGCATTGTAAATACTCGCACAAAACAAAAAACCACGATAAATGTACCATTATTAAACGACGGGGAGAAGGATCTGTCGAATTTCGAAAGGAAAACATCTCTCTTTTAACAATCATGAAGCAAGGCAGAGTTGCGTGACATTAAGGTGCAGGAGTTAGTTTTTCGTTTTCGTTAGGAAATGTCTTCGTTGCGTTTTAAAAAAGAATACTATACTTTGTCGCATCCATTAAGAGTGCTCAATTTCAGAGATTATGGAAATTTAGGCGGAAATTTTTTTTATGGTGCGTGAGCGTGGATAATGGGCGTACGACGTCAAAAATCAGTTTAATTATGTAAATTCGACAAAAAATGGACGCATGAAAACGCTGTTGTTTGATCTGGTAGTCCAATCTACTCCTGGTTGTAATATTTTTTTAATCATGCCGTGGTAACAGTTAAACCGTCTATGCTAGATGATGGAACTGAACAGACACAAGATCACCAAATCTATATGCAATCACATCAAACTCTCCTTACCCTCTCCCAACTCCCAGCTCAGCGATGTTACCGATTGATAACCGAATTTCGGTTCCTACATGTTCCATCATCAATCTAAGTTTTATGCATTCACTACCACATCGACATCTACACCGTCTACTAGTTCCGCTCTGTCGCTTGGCAAAGCTTTACAGGACCCCCCCCCCCCCGGTTAGCCGAAAAACTATATTAAAAAATGTGCAAAATAGCGAAATAAACAGTACATACAGCATGCTTATTTAGAGGCGGCGTGCTAACACACTCGACGGAAGGAAGGTCGGTACAATTCGAGCGAGCGGGAGGGTCTAGGGTCTCTTCCTCTACCTCATCGCGGGAGAGGTCCGATGCGGCCCACTTCGCGTCCAGCTGCTGCAGAAGGCCGTGTAGGAAGGCGTAGTCGAACGGATGCTCCATGTGCTTTCGGCTGTACGCCTTCCATCGACTATGTAAAGAAACGCGTGTGGTTGCGTGTTTGGGTTCGTGTGCGCGCGCGCGTGCGCGTGTAGGCCTATACGTGCGTTGTGCGTTTGCGCGTAGTGCGCGCGCCTATGCGATACGTAGGGTAGCGCGATCACCCGATCGGTGAGGGCGACTCCATAAAAGATACACGCGCGCACATGCACGAACGCCCACACGTGCGCACAGATACGCGCGTATACGGACAATGGTATGCACGCGCGCACGCGCGCACGTACCCACGCACGCACTCACGGACAGCTGGCACGCACGCACGCGGACCGGCATGCACGCAGCACACACACGACCCGACACACGAGCAGTCTCGATCGCTGATGTGTATTCCCACAAATGGTCAACTACTAGCGCGAAGAGCGTCGATAGAATGCCGTCACGGTGATAGTATAGAAGCAGATCTCGAGGGGAGACGCGTGCCTCTTTCGATCAGCATGAAACAATCGACGGCGTGGGGGAATGCAGCTTTTCGTTACCGAACTCACGCACTCGATGCGAACATGTTCAAACGACGTACATTTACAAGAAATCCGCCGAAACGTTTCACGAGATAAAAGTCGAACGCGGTCAGTCGTTATATTAGTGCAAGTTATATTAGTGTATATTAGTATATATTAGTATATTAGTCAGTCATCATATATTAGTGGCCAGAGGGACGACGACTATGCTATAGGTGTGTGTGGGGGGAGTGAAGTGTCTAATGAGCTCCAATAACGTACCACATCACTTGCTGTACGTCGGTAACGTCTCCCTGTATGGCATGCTGATGCAGGATGGTGAGCGCTGGCTGCGGTAGTTCGCCACTCCACTTATACGATAAGTCCTGCCGGCAGGAAAATATGTCCGTTAGTGCGGACTCACATTCGTTTTTATTAGCCTTAGCAGCATTTTAGCATCAGCTAAAAGATGCTCGCCATACCTTAGAGACATATTTACCCTCTCCTTGTCCCGGGAACATCATCAGTGAAAAGCAAGCGTGAAAGAAAGACTATGGAGAGAAAAAGCACATCAACATGTGTACCTGTATAGAATACTGACATCAGTCTCATCACGTTAATTGTCATCTTCATTCTATACAGATAAAATACGTGCTAGCCGCAAGGTGTCTTGCAGTAATCGACAACATGACTGAATACTTACCCCAAATTTCTTGATTTCGTGTTCTATGAAGATGCATATTAACGATTCGTGCTCCTTCACATCAGTCCAGTTGTCTTCTTCGCTGATTCCTCTGTCCTCCCGAGTACCCAGCTGCGAGGGAACGACCAGTACACGAACGTCACTGAATGGTGGCGTTCACACATAATATCCAAATATACCGGAAGCCACAGAAGCATAGCGCAGCAATTATTTATCTTATTACCACACATTGTCCTCTTGCGAGGCAATGCAGTCAACCCTGATATATTGATCACTTAGGGAAAACGCCGAAACTGCCGAAGCGCTAGAACATTCCTTTACAGGCAGGTTTCCATTCATTCTATACAGATGATCGCTACCGCAGTTTTAACTATATGAGCTCGAATACACATATTCGAATATATTCACACATATCGAATATACATATATTCTGATATTGATATTGATATTGATATTTACATATATATTTATCTGTTTAGCGTATCATAAGTTACAAAAGTATAAATCACATAGCTAGTCATGGTATCATCACACACACACATACACGCACACACCCACACACACACACACACACACACACACACACACACACACACATATTATAATATTAATATTATATATAATATATAATATATTATATAATTATATATTGCCTCCTAAAGACAAGACGTATCCAGCACCTGTACTTGAGGCTTGATTTGTCCCCTGCACGTTAGACTTGCTCGATTTGGTCCAGGGGAAACGGCACTTCTCACACACGTCGGATGGAATGTCGTGGCATCTTGACATATTGATGCAGGCCGAGGAAAATGTCCAAACGTTTCGCGCTGTTTGCTCTCGCCCGACTGAACTTATTTGGTTAAAAAAGCCTGCGGGCGATGAAGGCGGCGGATAACACAACAAGAATGAACAAATTTGAGATAGAAAATTATTGGAACCGCGATTTCACTTACCGACTAACATGGCCGCGATCTCACACTCCTTAACATGCTTTTGCGGGCTTGGCACGACCTAACATGCTCCCGGTAGTACACCCAAACCTAAACATGTACGCGGCGATCTACAATCCACTCTAACAATGGCCGGATGTTACACCGGCACCTCACACGACCGCGATCTCACACCCACCTAACATGACCGCGATCTCACACCCACCTAACATGGACGCGATGTTACACCCACTCAACGTGGACGCGATGTTACACCCACCTAACATGGACGCGATGTTACACCTTCCTAACATATGGACGCGTTGTCACACCCACCTAACATGGCCGCGATGTTACACCCACCTAACATGGACGCGTTGTCACACCCACCTAACATGGCCGCGATGTTACGCCTTCCTAACATATGGCCGCGATGTCACACCCACCTAACATGGCCGCGATGTTACACCCACCTAACATATGTCCGCGATGTCATACCAACCTAACATGACCGCGATGTCACACACACCTAACATGGCCGCGATGTCACACCTTCCTAACATGACCGCGGGCTTACACCCACCTAAAATGACTGCGATGTTACACCCACATAACATGGCAGCAGGCTTGCACGAACCTAGCATGGCCGCGTTAATAAGCCCTAGACCGCACGCGAATAAGTTTTCCCGCTCGATTAAGTGTTGTTAACGATGGAAAGTTAGTGAGCATACCTGCCCATTCCCTTGAGTCCTTGCACCTCATTTAGCTTCTTTACAGCATCCGAGACGGAATATTCATCATCGTGATCCCTGCGGTGTTAAAACCCATAGTTTACAACTCTGCAGGAAGAGACATAGAATGAGAAAGACGAAGAGACAAAGAAAAATACAGTATGTATGTATGTGTGCATGTGCGCGTGCGTGTAAGCGCATGTGTGTACGCACACGCGTGTGTGCGTGCTCGAGTGTATGGAAAAGGAAGAAAAGACGAAACCAAAAGGAAGAAACGGTCAGTCCACGTTATCATTTGGTAGCTTCTCTCTTTGAAAAACGCCTAATGGAAGGGTTAAGTGGAGGTCAAAATACGATGAGCAGGGTTGTCAGTTTGCCTGGGATAATGACATTCTGCGTTTTCTGCATGTTTGTTGCGGCCGCGTTCTCTGCTCTCAACTGTCAATCATAGATAACAGCAAGGTAGCAAACACGAGACGTTAGTCGGTGCACATGAATGTAATGTACATCTGTAATTAGCCGCAACATGTATGCCTTATTGCGTGCAATTATTTCACTATTCTGAAGCCGGTCAAGGTTGGAATATTCGGTGCGGACAGGCGTGGCAGCTGCGTCGCATGCCAATGAACACCTACTGAAGCAGATACAGCGTCCTAGTTTATCAACATGTTCTGCTTGCATCTATGACAAATACGACATACGCATATACGCTCTCCTATGACACTATTTAATAGTGTCATAGGAAGATTCTTCTTATGACAAATATTGGCGAGTCAACTTCGTTCCGCTTTACAGCTGAAATTCACTGCTTGCGTTCATAATAGCGCTCCTAAACTCCTATGATAAATCTTCCTATGACAAATAGTGTCATAGCAGAGCGTATATGCGTACGTCATATTTGCCATACATGCTAGCAGAACAGGCTGAGTTTATGCACGTGAAAACACGGCCACGATTCAGAGAGTCGTGGTCAGGGACGCTTTAGTCGCGACATAAGTCGTAGTTGCGGCATTTTTTTTATCTGCTTTAATAGTATTAATTATTATTACAGAGCTGTGGTGTTTCTGCCAACGCCCTCCCCATTTTCCCGCATTTATATTCATTGACATTAATCATGGCCGTAAGCTTTCCTGTGTGTTTTAATAGTATTATTATCATGAATATTATCATTATTATAATCATTATTATCATGATTATTATCATGAAGCTATTGGTTTATATTCAGGTATATTAGACGCAGTCGTAATGTTTTCTACGTGTTCTAATACAATGCAACGATATTTCAGTCAACACCCCCATATAGTTATGCCATCATGCACAAGATGCCCGTGTAGCAAACTCGAGCCGTGCGCACAGGTGATATCACGGCGTAGTGTAACAAGGGCCAGCAGCAGTACCTCAAATTATGCGACGCCGGGCGTGCTGATTTAAGGCTCACCTGCATGTTCTGCTGCAGAAAGCATTAGCAGATAGCCTACCGACTGTCAAAGCAGCAATCGCAACCACGCCCGAACGAGAGAGAGAGAGAGAGAGAGACGAGAGAGAGAGAGAGAAAAAGGAGAGAGAGAGAGAGAGAGAGAGAGAGAGGCGCGCGCACACGAGAAGGTAGGAGAGGCGATAGATTAGCCTCGAAAGAGAACACGAGAAAATGAAGTGTGAAGATATTAAGAGCCGAAAGCAAGCAAGAAAGAGAGAGTGTGAGAGGAGGAGAGCGGCCACCGACAGCTTAGAGAGCTCGCTAACTATAATTTTCCTAGCTGCCGGTGACACGGCTGGCACGCATTAGCGTGCGCCGATTGTTCAGTCAACAGGTACAAGCCAACACAAACAGCGACTGGCATCTCTGGGTCGATTATGAACACTGATCTTCGGACGGACGCAGAAATGCGAGCATGACTTCACGCTGCTGCAGTAGCCGCAGCAACGTGAATCAGCCAAAGCAGCATCACCACCGCCGCCGCCGCCACCACACACGGCATCTGTAGCAATTAGCAACAACAGCAGCAACAAACATCAGCAACACCATAAACTACGCCGCTGCCGCCACCAGCAGCAACGACAATCAGATACAACAGCAGCAAACATCACCGCCGCTGCGCTGGCATCACCAGCACGCACACCAGCAACAACACCAGCGGTAGTCAATGTATCAGCAGTAACCGCAGCAGTGGCAGCAGCAACAGCAACGACAGCAA